AACTTTCTATGTATTTTTAACATGTTTTAATAAATCACAATGTCTTTTTTTTTCATTTTCCAGGCAGATTGTCATGGGCCTGAGTCTGTTGACTCAGGGTTGGGTATTAATTAACATTATCTTATGTTCTTGTTATTCAGGTTATGTATTCTGTTAAGATTTTCCTCGTTCTCAGGTTTTAGTTCTGTGCTCCCTATGTTTAACGTCCCTGCCCGTGTGTTCCCTCTGTTCTCTGTCAGTGTGGTGTCTCTGAGTTCTGTGTGCGTGTATTTCCTGTTTTACTTTGAAGGTCTGTGTCTGATGTCAGTGTATTCAGTTTGCGTTCTCCCTGTCTTGTCATGCTTCTTGGGTTCAGCTGTGTCTCCCTCCTGTGTGCTGTTTCCTTGTTTCCCTTTGTGTATATGAGTGTGTGTTCTCTAGTGTTTGTCGTGGGGTCTTTTGCTCATCATGCCCTGTGTTTCTCCCTGCATGTATGGTTTCGAGTTTGGTTTGTTAGGTTTTTCCCAGTTTAGGTTTTCTTAGTTCGGTCCTTGCCATCCTCGCCACACAGCCAGTGCCTGCATCTTGGGTCCTTCATTCATAACCCCGCACGTCTGCCACCGCAGCCGTGACATGGATTATAAAGAAATGAGAGGTAGCTCAAGACATTTGCAAATCACCTCATGTCAACAGATCTAATACGATTACATTCATCTTGTAACTTAACATAACCCTGATCCTGACCTTCAGGATTATCAGATCTTAAATCAGATTTGATTTAGGGCACTAGCCCCATTAACCTGCAGACCAACCTGCACTTTGGTTGTGTGGTAGTCTGACAGATCTCTAGTGTCGTATGTAATTTAGTGAAGCGTCATTTATCTAGCACATTCTAATGCTAAGTTACAAACAAACAAGCAATGCATTTTAGAAGCTTCTTGAAACAACCTAAAGATTCAGAAACACTGATGAATTTGGGAAGGTGATTGCAGAGGGTTGTTGCCTTTTGCTTTGCACTTGGAGTGGGTGATGGATGAAAGGCAGACATTTGAGGACTGGAGTGATTGAGAAGCAGAAAGAGGAACAACAAGATCAGAAATATAAAAAGCAGTAAGGCTGTGCAGTTCACTTAATCAACCAAATAATGTATTTTATTATCAATTTTAATGGAAACAAGTGTGTGTGTGTGTTTGGGGGGTGGAAGATCAGGTGGGCAATAGTTGTAGTTGAGAGGCTACTAGCTGCATTTTGAAGCAACTGTAATCAATTTTGTGCACCTTGATTGAGGTACATACAGAGGGAATTGCAGTCATCCAGATGGGAAAACATGAAAGTATTTTAGGAATGAACAGTTTGACGTCCACAGAAAAGAAGACACATCTGATTTTAATGATATACTACCTCAGATTTGAAGGTAGATGTGCAGAATTATAGCTTAAATCCCGCTTTGTTGTTGGCAAAGTTTAAAAATGAAAGAAAGGTAAGTTTAAAAATCAGCAACTTCCTGGTGCTTACCAGGACTTTAGCTTGGACTGTTGGCCAATGAGCATTAAAATGCCTTTTTGAGGGCTTTTAAAGAAGAGAGCACATGGCATCATTGACAGTAATTTGCATTTCCTGTGTTTATTCTTATGTTATTGTGAGCAGCACATTTTTATAGTATGTAATGATTTATAATTATTTTAACAATGGTTATTATTCTCAGTTCATGTATTGTTCCCTATCCTGGAGCTATTTTCCTCCCACTCTAATGCACTCCCTACCTGCAGATCTATAGTGTCAGTGCCTTGAAAAACATTTTCTTCAAACTGACATTGATTGACAGCTTCATAAATGAAGAGAAAGGTACTTTTCACAGGTTTGAAGATGTAACTTGAACAACACAGAGGTTTGACCTTTGAACTGTCATCCTCTGGAGAGAAAGCTACAGTTAGTGCTACATGCTTGACTGACAGAAAGAAAGAAAGACAGAAAACTTAAACAGTGTATAAAGGAGATTTATAACTTGGATTTTGCAAACCCGTCAGTGTGTAAATGTAGGTTATAGATATTGGACTAATTCAAAGAAAAGGTGAAAGAAATTCTCTTTATAAGAGAAAAAAGCACAAAAACAAAGCTAATCATTTTCTTGACAGCCTTTCATTACTCCGGCTTTAATTTTCAACCTGCCTGTGACTTCAGTCGTTTTAGAAGTACGTGCTATCTGCCAATTCTGACTGATGTGGATGGACGGGTGCGTATTTCAAGCTGAATAATTCAGTGATTTACCCTAGCTTATATTTAAAACACAAGTGTCTGTATACAAAAGCCTGGTGTTTGTTCATTAAAGTTAACATCCTCTGCATGTTTGTATCACGTCTATGAGCATTTAATCTTTTTATTAGAAACACCTGATAAATATGCATGACACCTGTACTGTTATATTTAGATCACCAGGAGTAAGGACAGCTGTATTTGTTGTGTTAGCTACGATCTTATAGACAAAATAAATAAATAAATAACAACATATCGTCATCTACTGAAAATTAAAGTTGAATGACACTTTACAATTTCTAGGCTGCAGCCAATAATAATCTCAGCTGCAACTTTATTAAGTATGCTTACCACAACTAATGGAGCCTACTGTTTGACTGTACTGCAATTTGATATTTACAATGGCCTGCCCTTAATGATACAAATTGGAGTGGAGAAAATGACAGGAACACCTTTCTGTGGGATGCAATTCAGTTCAGCAGGGCCATCAGTCTGTGGGCTGACTTTGTCTCTCCACGTGAACTCTTTACTTGCAAACATCTAAGACTGCTCAAATGTGATTTGTCAATAGTACAAAACCTCCTAAAAGTGAAAGTCTTGCTCTTTGACTACAGACTCTCAAAATATTCAGATACACTCACTCACCATGTTGTTAGTTACACCTGTTAAACTACTCATTAACATAAACATTTAATCAGCTAATCACATGGCAGCAACTCAATAAGGCACGTAGACGTGACCTGCCAAACTTCAAACAGAGCGTCAGAATGGAGAAGAAAGCTGATTTAAATTACTTTGAATGTGGCATGGTTGCTGCTGCTTGTATTTCAGAAACTGCTGATCTACTCGAATTTTCCAACATAATGATCTCTAGGCTTTACAGAGAATCGTCTGAAAAAGAGAAAATATTCAACAAGCAGCAGTGTTCTGGGCAAAAAATGCTTTGTTGAGGTCAGAGGAGACTGACCAGACTGCTTCGAACTGTTATGAAGTAACCCAGTAACTTGTTCTAAACAAGGTATACAGAAGAGCTTCTTTGAATGCACAAATAAAATACTCGGGCAGATGGGCTACAACAGCAGAAGAGCACACTGTATGCCACTCCTATTAGCTAAAAATAGGAAAGCAGAAACACAAAACAGGCTGTAATAAAGACCAAAAATAAAACAGTAGCAGATCAGAAAACCATCTAATAAGATGAGTCTCAATTTCTGCTGTGACATTTGATGCTGGGGTCAAAATTTGATGTAACTAATGTGAAGGCATAGATCAACTTACCACGTGTCAACGGTTCGGGTTAGTGGTGGTGGGGTAATGGTGTGGGAGAGGTTTTCTTGGCACACTCTGGGCCCCCTAGTGTCAGCAGAGAATCGTTTAAATGCCACAGTCTACCTTTTTTTATGTCGTTCTGAAGTAAAGCCTTGTCATGCACTGCTGCTTTTTTGGTTACCCACTGACTTGTTTTCCATCACTTTAATCTGACAGGTACAAAACACTTGAAGATATTCTGGGTATATGCATTGTTTATTTTAATCCCCAAAAGTTTGAACAATCTTGAAACCTGAATAAATATTTACTCAAAATCAGCTGCTGGCAGGAGGTATTAATGATCTCATGGAGTAACTGTGAGTTATATAAGAAGGAATCAGTGATAGTGTGATGTTTGGCTGAGGGGTGAATCGCATGGCAGCAACTCACTGCATTTAGGCATGTACACATGGTCAAGACAACCTCCTGAAATTAAAACCAGGCATCAGAATGAGGAAGGAAGGTAGTTTAAGTGACTCTGAATGTGGCACGGTTGTTGGTACCAGACAGGCTGGTCTCAGAAACTGCTCATCTCTATCCTGCCTTGTATCAATACTGCAAGTTGCTTCTGGGGGTGTGGGGGATATCTTCACAACACATTTTAGACCACTCATGATCTACAGACTTTAAGTATTTCTATTGAACATGTGCATCCCTTTATTGCCACAGTGTACCCATCTTTTGATGGTTTCTTCTAGACAGGATAATGCACCAGAGCTCAAATAATCTCAAACTGCTTGCTCAAACATGTCATTGAATTCACTGTACTCAAATGGCCTCCACAGTCACCAGATCTCAGTCCAATAGAGGATTTTTGGGATGTGATGAAATGGGAGATTCTCACCATGGATGTGCAGCCAAAAAAAAAAAAATCTGCTGCAACTGCCACGATGAATTAAACCAGTTCTGAAGGCAAAACGGGGTCCAAACCGATACTAACAAGGTCTAGTAAGTAAAACCTTATATGTGTCTATTTACAACACCATAAACTCCAAACTTCCAAAATAACCATAAAGTTGGAAGGCTTATCTTTATAGCTAGTCTTCATGAATATAAGTAGGCTCTAGTATATGACTATTGCATTCGACTGCATTCATTTTATCTACAGATGTTCCCTTTTTGCTGTTTTTGACACTGTTCAGATAAAACTGAAATATGGAAAAATGTTTAATGATTTTCTGCGATGTTACTTCAATTATGCAATAATGTCCGCTTTATTTTTTTTAATTTGATTTTCTCAGGGTAAGGTTTTTAATCCTGGCGTGAGAAGCTGGTTCACAGAGTCCTTTCCATAAAAGTCTGTCTTGACATATGTGGGCAGAGTGAGCCTGAAAGCTTCTCTTGGACTCGGAGCCCTTTTGACTGGTGACTAACACGCAGTGAAAGGGAGCAGAGGCAGGGGAGGAGGGTTTGGAGGGAGGAGGGTTTGGGGCGGTTGTCGTCATTGGGAGCTGCAGCAGCATCAGCATCACCGGAATGAGTAACAGTGCGCAACTTGAGAAATAACTATAGTGTCTGGAGGAGCGCGCGTGTGACCGTTAATCGTTAACTTCACGAGCCGGGTTTCTCTTCAGCGTATTCATGAAGGCTTAAAAGGTGCCAACAAGGAAACCCCCAACACGGACTCTCTGTGGAGCTGCCGCCGAAGAAAGAGGAGCCATGGACTATATAAAAAACCACAACACTTATCTCCCCTTCTTCATTTTAATAAGTAAGTCACGCACTTTGACTCCAGTGAGTGTTTTGGTAAAACTTTTCCCGTCTTCTGTCTCCTTTTTGCGCTTACTTTGTGTTTTCTTTAAATGGTTGAATGGGCACATTTGGCAACAGTGTGCCACGTTAATTAGCCTTTCTGCAGCGTCGTGCCACTCACAGGGGCCACGGGGGAGAGTTGGTCCAGGGTTTAGACCGAGTCTATTGCAGTTTGATCCGATCATGAATCTTTGGCACAAAAACGCGCCGTCTCGCACACGTCCCAGCGGTGCTTCCACATCCACTCTGAGAAGCGACATCAGGCGAGGTGTCATTTTCTCTGGAGGCAACACTTGACGGAATTTGATTTACATTCATTTACACTGCAGCAGGACGACAAGACTTGGCAAGGAATGGGCTCTCGGAGCAGTTAATGGGGTTACATAATAATTGTATGCTGTTGGTTATACTGCTTATCTTAAATAAACAGAAGAAAATATGACATTTTTCTTTAGGCTTTAAGCAGATTAACCCAGATTTTGTTTTGTTAAACCTAGCTGAAAAAGGCAAATATCATTAAACAAAAAATGCCTGAATTTTTTTCCTTCCCCCCCCCCTTTTGTAGTATTTAGAAAATAAAAAAATTAAATCCATGAATCATTGTTTACTGGAAGAAAATCATGTTTGTTTGTGCTTCTTGCCTGCCAGATCCAATCAGGCTTCATTTCATATGAATAGAGTGAGTGTTTGTGACCAGCAGAGGCATGTCATGTGGTCAGGGAAATGATGGTGAACTCACTCACAGGGATCCACTAGAGCTGGCTTATTAGCATCACTGTAACTTCCTCTGGCTTTAAATCATCTCATGCAGCACAGTTAGTTCACTTTCTACATGCTAATGCTATTTTGAATGATCTGCTCATGCTTATTGAAAGCCAGATTTGTTATTAGTTCTTTAGAAGGGGGAGTTATTATTAGTACTACTGCTGGTAAGTGCTCATATATTTTGTTATGTTTCACACAGGTTGATGCAGCACCACATGTTTTCTCTTTCTGCTGAATAGCTGTATGTATCATATATGTTTAGCCAATCAACATGTACCTAAAGAGGGCTGTAGATAGCTTACTCCACTTGAAGCAACAACACCTTGTTTTTTTATTTGCAAGAAAAAGCCACATGCAGGAGCCCCTCCCCTTGGCTTTAGCAGCCACTGTGGCTGGATCAGTGTAAGTGGCTCTTACTGCAGTCACTCCAGTGACAGGAATGAGTCCAGGATGAGCTCCGCCAAAACTCACAGTATTATGTCAGATCCCCCTCCTCCCCTCTCTGTGCCTGAGGCACATCTAGCATGCATCCGACTTGTGAGGGATAGTCTTCTCATACCAGCGCGGCCAATATTTGATTTTCGCAACATTATCTATTCGCAGTATTCTCAAACTACATGTGGGGAGTTGGAGAGAGAATCTTTAACCATAATTATAGAAAGCCCATAAAAATTACAATTACACTCAAGTGGAAATGCAAAACAGATCAGCTGATACATATTTGACTGAAAATTGCTTTCTCTGCTGTGGCAAATACTGTGTGATCAAAGGGCGGATGTTATTAACCAGGTTGGTAGCACTGTCCTATTGTGTGCTTAGTGTTGATTAACATGATAAACTGTATAAATGATGGATGTGTGCGCTGTGAGGTCACCCATCGGTTTGTAGACGTCTCACTATTCTGTAAACATGTTTATCTCTTCTCTAAATTGGGGCATTTTATCAGCAGGGTCTAGGAGGCCATTTGAGGCCGGCTCAAGTGGCCGCTCAGTGAACTGTTTCTCATACTCCTGCATTGGTGTCTTTTCATCATATGTGTATTATTAAGATCCTATCATTATGTTATTTTTTTTAAACATCACTGTTAGAAAGTTATCTCTGGGATGCTGGGATGATAGCTCCCTCAGGACTTAAACTCCGGTCAGAGAGTGGGGCACAGAGAGTGATGTCCAGATATACTTTAGTGGAAGTTAACAGCAGCTCAACAGTACAGCAGTAGGCATACTTAACAAGTGTGGGAGGGGCGGACACACGTGTGATTCTGAATAACAAGAAACAAGGAGAAACAATTATCACATGTAAATATAACAATTATCACTTCCCAACATCACACCAATATAACGAACTGTAACACAAATAATGCTCAGAGGTGAAGGCTCTGACACAAGAAAGTCCCACAATCCCATTTGAACAGGCAGGAAACAAGAATACCTGCATATGTGAGGCAACAGAAAGGACCTAATGCACCAAAGTTAGGAAAAGTTGACAATTACATGGTCTTCAGTGCCCTCTAGTGGCTAAATAACCCAACTGCGGTGCACAGATCCAACCCGCAACAAAGGCTACCGTGGTAAGTCACATGCCTCTACCAATCTCGACAAATCTCCTAGCATAAACCCCCTGTAATTATCATCAAAGTACAAGTGGAAATGGACTCGTAGAATTGGAAGGATTTCGACTCACATTTGCACAGGAACGCACACGGCTGGAGATCGCTATTCACCCACACTCATGGAGAAAAGCATGCCTAGTGCTCCCCGGACTCGTGATACGGCAGGACCGTTGTAAAAGCATGTGACGTCATCACCGTAGCAAACAGTAAGAACAAAGTGGAACTTATCGGCAGACATTACCAGTGCACTTATAACTATGCAACTGAAATATAAGGAGACACAGCCACCCCCTAATTTAAGTAGTAAATTTGCTCTTCAACCAAAAGTCTAAGCATCATTGGGTTTACAGTCCTCCTCATCCTCCCAGGCTGAGAGTCTGACTAATCTGGCAACAGGTTGAAGATATGTCTGTCCCTTGATTGTCACCTCAGCCGCTCTCACCCGACCATCTGGCCCTGGACAGGCCTTGACCACCTTTCCAATAGGCCACTGCGCTCGTGGTAGTTGTGAGTCAACCACCATAACCACTTGACCTGTGGTTAAGTTGTCAGTATCACCCTGCCATCTTTGTCTCCTCTGAAAATCAGGCAGATGGTGACGCAGGAAGTTGGAACAAAAATGGTCTGCCAGAATCTGACTATGGCGCCATCGCCATCTTCCCAGCATCTCACTCGAAGCATAAATCACCTGGGGGAGTGATGCATCTCGTCGCCCCATTAGCAATAAGTTGGGTGTGACTGGATCCGGATCCGCTACATCCGAAGAGACATATCCGAGAGGCTTTGCATTAATGATCCCTTCCACCTCGACGAGCACAGTTTGCAAAACTGCCTCTGTGACCGTATTGCCTCCCAGCACCACTTGAAGAGCTGCCTTCACAGATCTTATCTCCCGTTCCCAAGTACCTCCAAAATGGGGGGAACCTGGTGGATTAAACCGGAACTCAATCCTCTGCTCCACCAGCTACTCTTTAATGGGGGCTTCAAGAGCTGAGAAACTAGACCACAGTTCAATCTCTCCTCCCCTGAAGTTGAACATTCAGATAGGATCTCATATGGCTTGCCCCGGCGTGCAATAAACAGACGCAGAGCCATGAGAAAGGCATCAGTATCTATGCTGTCCAACAGGTCAAGATGCACACAGCTCGTAGTCACGCATTTGAATATGATACCCCAACGCTTTTCGGTGCGCCGTCCTACTTTGATGTTGTAAGGACCGAAGCAGTCGACTCCAGTGGACCAAAAGTGGTTTGTATAGGCGCAGCCTCGCGGGGGGTAGATCTGCCATCCGAGGAATATTAGGACGGGCTCGACACCTTCAACACTCACCACAGCTGTGCTGGTGCCGCTTGATTGCCTCCCTTCCTTGGAGAATCCAATATTTTTTCCTTATCTCCCCGAAGACTTGTTCTGGCCCAGGGTGCAACAGCTGCTCATCATATTCTCTGATCAGCAGTTTAGTCACCGGATGCTGCGGGTCAAGGACTATGGGGTGCATGGCATCCAAGTCCAAACCTTCTGCTCTTCTTAGTCTGCCCCCAACTCTTATCAGCCCAATAGCCGGGTCATCCTCCGGAGCGAGTGTTAGCAGGCGACTCTGCTTATGAATTGCCTTACCAGCAGCCAGGGCCTGTAATTCCTCAGGGAAGCTATCATTTTGAGCTTGTTTCAGGAGATGCAGCTCAGCAGCTGATGCATCTGTAGCAGTCATGACATGGTTTTCATGATCAGCAGCCTTAACCACTGCACTCCATTTGCCAAAATTGGAAATTGGCACCGTTAGCTGTGGACTGCATGTGGTGGTGGTTCCACAGAATGCTGTTGCTCTCAGCTCCCCATTGTCTTCTTGACCTTCACCTTCACGGAGAGTTGGCCAGGTATCAGGGTTCGTTAAAAGGAAAGGTGGGCCCTGAGTCCAACGGTTTGGTTGATTCAGCTCGAGAAGGGTTTTCCCTCGCGTGAGGTCACCAGCCGGATTGTCCTTGGTGTTGACATATCTCCAACTTGACACCTCAGTAAGACCTTGTATTTCGGCAATCCTGGTACCAACAAAGACCTTATAGCGGCATGAATCGGATTGGATCCAGGTCAAAACTGTTGTTGAGTCACTCCATAGGGTGATGTCACTGGGTTGAAATGCCAGCTCGGTCTCGAGTACTCTAGCCAGTTGGGTTCCGGCAAGAGCTGCACATAACTCCAAACGTGGCATAGAAATCTGTTTCCGGGGGCTTACTCTTGACCTCGCCATCATGAATGCCACGTGGACGTCGCCTTGGGAGTCCTGTGTTCATAGATAGGCGGCGCTCCATAGGCTCTTTCGGAGGCATCACAAAATATGTGAGCCCCTCCACCTGGTCTCCCGGTGTCTGCTCTTGGTGGCACATAACATCTTGGTAATTCCACCTGTGGCAAGTACACTAGTTCCTTCTCCCACTGTGTCCATCTGTCTAGTAGGGCCGTAGAATGGATTTGTTTATCCCATCCAACTCCTGCCTTCCAAAGATCCTGAATTAAAACCTTCGCTCGAGTTGAGAAGGGTATGAGGTAGCCCAGAGGATCATACTGCGATGCCATCACCCGAT